TTTATCTGTGTTCTTAGTCCCGTACACAGTGGCACTACAGAACTCCTTCCAAACTGTTGTATCTTCATACCAACCTGCTCGGAATTTTCTCACGATTCCAATGGCACCACCCATGTCACCAGAAAATCAATCATGCGCCCTCACACGCCACTTCCGTGTTCGGCGCGTCTCTACTTCCGCCGCCACTCTCACACACGCACTCACACGCCTTCCCTTGCGTGCTCACGTCATCCCTGACGTCAACCCTACCCTTTGCGTGCGCCGCGCCTGCTGCTGTACGCCCCGCGTACGCCGTCTTGCTATTGTCTGCTTTCATGCTCCAGTCTACTCTCTTGCGTCGTGTGTGCGCCGTTTGGTTATTGTGCGCCCGCATGCGCCATTCTGCTCCCTTGCACTGCGCGTGCGCCGTTCGGCTATCGTGCGCCGCCCGTCATCCCTGCTATGGTGCACCGCTCCCGTGGCTACTATTGTGTGCCACTGACATCATCTGGCTCTCTACTGATATCAGCGGACCCTTTCCCAGCTATATTCGACCTTCCAGACTCACTAGTATACTCCGTTTTACCAAATTTTGCTCCTACAGGCCTGTTCTTATTTATTTCGCTCTACTCCATTTCTATTATGGATCGTCATGATGCCTCTCATCCAATTTTTGTTCTACTTAATGGTTCCAATTATGTACTGTGGGCCCAAGCCATGTCTTCATTTCTCAAAGGACGAAAACTTTGGCGTATTATCACCGGGGATGTGACCAAACCGGTCAAAGAAGATGTTGAAACTACTGCCAAATATGAAGACCGACTCGAAGACTGGGACAGTGAAAACTACCAAATCATTACTTGGCTTCAGAATACCTTTGTTCCCTCTATTAGTCTCCAGTTTGGCCGTTTTCAACTTGACTCTGTTCCGAATCCTGCTAAAGCCATTTGGGATTTTTTGCGAGATCGTTACCAGACTGTCGGTCTTGCCCATCAGTATCAACTTCAGAGTCAACTCCACCGCATGCGTCAAGAAACCAGTCAGTCTATTAATGACTTTCTTTCTCAAATGTATTCTGTTTGGGACTAGCTTGCTCTCTCAGAACCGGCATGGCCTCACCTTGAAGATGCTGCTTTATTTACTACCTATCGTAATCAGCAGCAGTTGGTTCACTTTCTTATGGCTCTCGCTCCCTCTTTTGAGCCAGTGCGTGCTTCTCTTCTTCATCGCCATCCATTGCCCACTCTTGAAAAGACTATTTCTGAGCTGTTATCTGAGGAGACTCGTCTTGGTACTCTCCAAACTCATCATGTGGACTCTGTTATTGCCACTCCTCAGTCACGGCCTTCATCAAACCAACGGACCACTACCTACCTCTATTGTCAGAATTGGGGCCTTTCTTCTACTCATCTTTTGGTTCATTGCCCTATCTGCTCCTGCAGTTATTGCAACAAACTTGGTCCTGGTCATCTGCAGCAGGATTGTTTTTGCAATCCATCCCGGTCATCTTCCACTAGTCACTCCTCTCGTAGCGGCTCTTCTAAGGGAAGCTCTCATCGTCAATTTCATCGCACAGCTGCTACTGCCTCTGAGGATTTCTCTGAGTCTCCTGTTCCGTCTGCTCCTGTCTTTTCTCACACCGATGTAGAGGCCATGTTCAAATAACTTCTCTCCACCTCTGGTACACCTCTTCCTACTGCTTTGTCTGTGACTCCAGGTAACTCTTCTTGGTATTTTGACTCCGCCTCTTGTAATCATATGACTTCCAGCTCTACTATATTCTCCTCCATCTCTCCCTCTACTCATCTTCCCTTCATTCATATTGATGATGGCTCTCTCATGTCTGTTAGTCATGTTAGGACTATTTCCACATCCCAATTATCTTTACCTCAAGTTTATCATATCCCTGCTCTAACCTTAAATCTTATCTCTATTAGTCAATTATGTGAGCTTGGTCTAAACGTCACATTTTCTGCTAATGGTTGTTTGGTGCAGGACCCTCAGACATGACAGACTATTGGGATCGGTCGTAAGCATGGACGTCTCTATGAACTCATTCACCTTTATGTTCCGAACTCCCCACAGATCGTTGCTCCTGCATCTGCTTCCTCTTTATCTCCTTTTCATCTTTGGCATTGTCGCTTAGGACATCTTTTTGTTATTCGCTTAAAGTCTTTGGTTTCTAGTGGTCAATTGGGTCCTGTACTTCAAGATAATTTTGATTGTATACCCTGTCAACTTGCAAAACAACCTGCTTTATCATTTAATAAAAGTACTTCTGTTTCCCGTGCTCCTTTTGATCTTATACATTCGAATATTTGGGGCCCTTCTCCTACTACTGCCATAGGGGGATCTCATTATTTGTTGTTTTTATTGATGATTATTCATGGTTTACTTGGATTTTTCTCATGAAAACTCAGTCTGAACTTAAACATCTTTATTATAGCTTTGCCAACATGGTCCGCACCCAATTTTCCACAACATTAAAATTTTTTGCTCTGACAATGCTTTGGAATATCAGGATACCAATTTCCTTTCCTTTCTTCAGCATCATGGTACTTAGCCTCATCGTTCCTGTGCCGGCACATCCCAACAAAATGACCATGTTGAACAGAAACATAGGCATATTCTTGATACTACTCGTGCTTTACTTCTCTCATCTTCCTGCCCCGAAAAGTTTTGAGGGGAAGCTGCCCTTACTGCTGTGTACACTATCAATTATGTTCCTTCCCCTGTCATCCATAATCAAACTCCTTTTGAACGTCTACATGGCACTCTCCCTCCATACACTAATCTTCAGGTTTTTGGTTCTGCCTGTTTTGTTCTACTTCAATCCCATGAACACAGCAAGATTGAACCTCGTTCTCGTCTTTGCTGCTTTCTTGGATATGGGGTTGAACATAAAGGCTTTCGCTATTAGGATCCTATCTCTAAGCGTCTTCGTATCGCCCGCCATGTAGTTTTCTGAGAGCACAACATGTTTTCCTCTCTCTTCTCCTTTCACTTATCCGCACTCTCCACTCCGGTCATCTTTACTAATCCTTCCCTCGATCTTTTCTCTAACCATTTTGATATAGGTTCCTCCATCATCGAGACGCCCTTGTTGCTCCCTGATCCCGGCCAAGCTGTTCTTTCTGATGGTCCGTCTCTCCTTGCACCTTCTAGTCCGTCTCCTCCTTCTTTGCCAACTCTTCTCCCTACCGATCCTCTCATGGGTCGACCGCACCGGGTAACTCAACCTCCTATTCATCTTCGTGATTATATTGTTGGGTCTGCTGCCTTTTCTACTTATGAACCCAGCTCCTATCGTGAGGCTTGTACTAATCCTCTTTGGCAGCAAGCTATGACTGAGGAACTTCAAGCTTTGGCCAAAACTCATATCTAGGATGTTGTTGATCTTCCTCCTGGCAAAACTGCAATTGGCTACAAATGGGTCTACAAAATCAAGACTCATTCTGATGGCTCTATTGAGCGCTACAAAGCTCATCTTGTTGCCAAGGGTTTTAACCAAGAATATGGTATTGATTATGAGGAGACCTTCTCCCCTGTTGCTTGCCTTACCTCTATTCGCAGTTTGCTTATTGTTGCTGCTGCTCGCCACTGGGAGCTCTTTTAGATGGATGTCAAGAATGCCTTTCTTAATGGTAATCTTTTTGAGGAGGTCTACATGCAACCTCCACCTGGGTCTACTTTTCCACCTCATCAGGTTTGCAAACTACAACGTGCCCTCTATGGCCTCAAGCAAGCACCCCGCACTTGGTTTGTTAAGTTCAGTTCTACGATCCATGACTTCGGGTTCACCTCTAGCTCCTATGACTCTGCTTTATTTATACGGACTACTCCTCATGGTACCACTCTTCTCCTTCTTTATGTGGATGATATGATTATCACTGGTAATGATACAGCTGGTATTCTTCACCTCAAACGTTTTCTCCACCGTCAATTTGAGATAAAGGACCTTGGTAATCTTAACTACTTTTTAGGCCTTGAAGTCTCCCATGATTCTGTTGGTTCCTGTTTGTCCCAGGCTAAAAATGCATCCGATCTTCTGGCCCGTGCTGGTCTTACCGATTGCAAAACTACCTCTACTCCAATTGATCCTCATATTCGTCTCACTCCTCTCGATGGGGATCTCCTCTCAGATGCTACTCTTTATCGCCAGCTCGTCGGTAGTCTTGTTTATCTCACTGTGACTCGTCCTGACATTGTCTATGTTGTTCACATTGTTAGTCAATACATGTCGGCTCCTCGCACTCCCTATTATACTGCTTTACTCCGCATCCTTCGCTACCTCAAAGGCACTCTGTTCCATGGCCTCCACTACTTTGCTACCTAATCTCTTGAACTGTGTGCTTTTTCTGATGCTGATTGGGCTGGGGATCCTACGGATCGACGCTCCACCATAGGTTTCTCTTTCTTCTTAGGGGATTCTCTTCTTACTTGGCGTGGCAAGAAACAATCACTCACTGCCCGCTCTAGTAGCGAAGCTGAATACCGAGCTCTTGCTGATACTACTTAGGAACTTCTCTGGCTTCGCTGGCTCCTTGCTGATATGGGTGTTTCTTCTTCTAGCGCTACCTCTCTCTATTGTGACAATCAGAGTGTCATTCAAATTGCTCACAATGATGCTTTTCATGATCGCACCATGCATATTGAGATTGATTGTCACTTCATTTGCCAGCATGTTACCCGTGGCACTGTTCTTCTTCTCCACATTGCTTCTGTCGATCAATCTGCTGATATTTTCACAAAAGCGCATCCTTCTAGTCGCTTCAATGATCTCGTTTCCAAACTCAAACTGGTTAATGCTTACCCTCCTTGAGTTTGCGGGGGCTGTTAGTGTTAGTGTAAACTGTTAGTGTTAGTGTAATATAATATTGTAGCATAATCTAGCTGTTGTAACGTAATGTATCTAGCTGTCATATGTCCCACTATACTTTCGGTGTTAGTGGGTTAGCATCATATGCCCACTGTACTTCATTTAACTCTTTATAAATGAGAGTGCTCTGCTCTTTGTAACAATACTGAACATAATACAATACAAGTTATTCAGTCTCTCTCTCTCTCTCCCCCTCTCTCTCTCTCTACCAAACCAACACCAGGTTTTAGGTCAGGACAAGCAAGCCTTGACTCAACAATGATTGTCGAAGATTTTGGGTTCTCGGAGTCCGGGAAGTCAATTCAATGACCCCAATTCGAGCGATGTGAAGCTCACGTTGAGTTCCAAGGATGGACTCACTGTTTCCTTGAATGTTCATTGGCAGATTTTGATTGCTCACAGTCGATTCTTCACGGTTAAGCTTTCCGATCGATGGTTGAAGCAGCAGCGAACTTCTAACGCCTACATTGTCAAGATTGTTGACTGTGATGATGTTGAAGTTTACATCGAGGCTCTAAGTTTGATGTATTGTAAGGATTTGAGGAAGAAGCTCATGAAGGAAGATGTCACCAGAGTACTTGGAATCTTAAAGGTACTAATAATCATTTGCACATTGTAGAGGAAACTATGAACTTTTGTTGAATTTGTAGATTTATATGATTGTACCTATTTGTATGTGTATATGAAATGATGTGTATACGTTTGTACGAATTTGCTTATATATATTTCTGTTTTGTGATTGACTGTTAAAAAATAGCAAAAGTTCAATTTTTTCCCTCTTCAATTGCTAGCTAAATAATAGCTCAACAAAGTTGGTCGGAATCATTATTTTTTTCTTGCCGTCAAACTATTTGATAAAATGTCTCTTAGGAACTACTTAGTGTAAAACACCCTTTTGGACCCATCCCCTATTTGGGATGGAGGACAAATTCAAAGTTAAATAATTCTAATAATACATTTGATGACTAAGCAAAGCACACAACCACAATTCATCCTTTGATTCTAATAAATCTAATAAATAATTCTAATAATACATTTTGTCAATTCCTCGTTATCCTGGGACCTGGGTCAATCCAAATATGGGAGATGATACACAATTCAAAGGGATAGATAATCCCAAGACCAACAGTTCTAGGAATGCAATTTTATCTAATATATTCTGCCCAAACAAACATGGCAAAGTGTAGAATTTTATCTAACGGTTCTGTCAGTGAAAATTGCTCTGAAACTTTTTTCCCTGCATCATTGGCTTGGCTAGTGGACTAGATGTCTATTATCTTTGTACTGTCATCAAATCAAATTTGTATGTCTTTATCTTAATGCAGTTGTGAAATTCTAACTATAATTTAGATATTTTTCCCTGCTGGTGCATCATTCCTTTTGAATCTATCTGATTGAAAGAAAGACATTGATGTGAAATTCCCTAAAAGTTACGGGACATCAAATCTACCTTTGAACTATTCTGAAATGGAAAAGCGAATAAAGGAGATGAAATGGAAAAAAGAAAGAATACTGGAAGATATGCAGAGAGAGCAAGCATTATTTGACCATGAAAAGTTAATTTTTGATTTAAAAAAACATGAGTATGTCAAGTTCCTGGCAGAAAGCTCATCATATGCGACTCAGGTAATGCCTTGAGCATATTTTGACTGGCAATGTGTAATTGTTTATCTGAAACCAGTAATTATTTTTTGAGGAGTAAATTTATTAGCTGTAAATTGACATAGACTGATTTTACATGCTATCGCTATGTACAAATTTGCTTATAGTGTTCTTGTTTAGTTGAGTTTTTTGGGGGAACACATCATTATTTGACTGAAACCACTTCATTTAATGGAGCTTTTCTAAGTCCACTGCCAGAATGCTAGGAGAAAAAGAAAAAATTGCTATTGAAGGCAATAAATATTTAATGAGTGGAAACCTTTGCAAGCTAGAGACTTATTACTGGTCTTTGTGCTCAAAATGCGCTTTTGATCATTAGTGTTAAATCTGTGTCCATTAAAATGTTTCATAATTAGACCAGTGTGGTTCTTTCTGCTGGCCTAAGTTACATAGACTTCTCAAAATAAATCAAATACTTGTGTTGGGCACCTGACACAAGGGTGCGGAACGTGCCCAATACGTTTTATCAAACACTTCTCATGTATATATATATATATATATTAATGCTATCACTATATATATTTATTACTGTATAATTGCGATAAAATGAGTAAAATGTCTTTTTGACACTGATGAATCTGACCTCTTAATACGCACCTACACCCGTATCCGATACTCATACCCAAATCTATGTAACATAGCTCCTGGCTATTACTGCGGGGTTAGATGAAACTCATCCTTTGATTTTTTAAATAATGAACAATAGATCCCTATCAATTTCTCACTGATGCGTTGTCTTGTGGACAACCGAAAAATGCATGATAGTTTGGGAAGGAAATGAAACTTGTCAATCATGTTCTTTTTTTATTGGATAATTTACCTCCAAGGACCTGTTGATGTAAAAATGGCAGATGAGAAAAGCCTTTAATCCTCAAGTGTTTTGTATGATGTTTTATCTTTTATCTTTTGTGACGAAATTTAAAATGTGGTCTTGATATAACGTGCAGCGTCAGACTCAGGCAGGGCAAGACAGATTGAACCCGAGATGATATTTTTGCAAGTAGTGCCTGATATCATGCCTTTAGTATTGCTAGTATAAGTCTTATTATTTAAGTAATATTTGTTATCTGTATTCAAACTTGTTATGCTATTATATATCTACAGTGCCTAAAAGGAACAGATGTTATTTGTATGTTGTTTTAAAAACTTCTTGTAGTGATTCCTGCAATATTAGTGGAGCTAATGATCCTAGTGGTTTGATCATGTAGATACAGTTGCTCTCGAATATAATGAGTGGAAAGATTATCTTACAGTTCTCCCATTTGTGGTAACTATTGTAGTATCTGTGTCTTTGATTTCTATAACTTCTCTGTCGATCCATGCAACTTCAGGATCCTCAACCCACATGTGTGATCCGACTATGATGTTTACAGTAGTTCCCTGGATCATTGAAGAATCACAATAAAGGTAATGTGACCATTGTTTTACGGAGAATAGATTGATTAAGTTACTTGAAAATGAAGAAGATGAACCATGAAAGCTTACCATGATTGTGATTCTTCTATGTGATCATCTAATGCAGAATGGCAATGCAGAGAAGCCAATGGATTTTTGTTGTCTAGAGAGAATGGCAGTGCTAGTAAGGCATGATGGAGTGAAGATTTGTCAGAAATAAAAAGTAGATAGAATATTGAAAAGAAGAGGAAATCCCGGAGGTGGTAACTCCAAAGAAAAAAAGGCAGAGATGCTGACTTGGCACCTTTTTTTTTGCTCATTTGACACAAGATGCTAACTTGGCACCAAAAGAAGCATGCCAGTTGTGTGTAGGCAACACAGGGAATTCATGTGCAATTGATGCATGGGATAGTTTTTATGTTAATGCTTATTGTTGTAACCATCTGATGAGTGGACGCTTTGCTTCGCCAATGTTAAAGGGCTTTATGTTCCTAATTATGGTTGTGCATTGCCAATACCAAGTAGTGGGATTACTAGGTGTCATTGGAGTGGTTATAAAATTATGAAAGTGTCTTATTACTTAAATAATTTGACATTAAGTTATTCCTTTTTGGATGGTTGGAAGTGAAATGAATGCAAATTTTGAAATGATTGATAATATTTGTATTGTTTTGTTTATATACATGGTATAGGTTGTACGGAATACATACAGGTTATGGAAAAGTTAAAAAAAAAATAATATCATGTTTTTGGCCACTAAATAATTGGTAGCCAAAAAGGCAATAAATATTTTTAGTGACTAAAATTTTAGTAATAAAAAAATAGACTTTAGGCGACTAAATTTTTAGTAGCTAAAAAAAATTACACTTTAGGCGACTAAAACATTTAGTAGCTAAAAATAATAAGATGAACAAAAAATCTTTTTGCCTACTAAATAAATTAGTTGTGGAAAATAAATTTAGTTTTGGTGACTAAATGTTTTAGTCGTTGAAAATGCGATATAAATTTTTTTTGAAATTTTTTGGTGAATAAAAGATTGGTCGCCAATTTAGCCTATCAATGACTAAAGTTTTTTTGGTCGCCAATACCTTTACTTTTGGCGACTACTTGTTTAGTTGCTAATTTAGGATTTTTGGCGGCTAAAATTTTTTTAGTCGCCAATACCTTCGCCGACCGTCTTTCCGCGACCAAGTTGGCGACCAAACTATTTAGTCGGGAAAACCTTTTGGCGACTAAAAATTTAGTCACCAAAAGTGTAATTTCTTGTAGTGGTCTCAATTGGGACTCACAAGAAAGATAAGATTGAGTATGGAGAGATAAAAGTATAGAGGGGAGTTATTCAATTATAATTATGAAAATTATATACTAAAATTTACTTAAATAAAAATATGAATAAATTCATTACAATAACTATAAAAGATAAAAACTAATAAAAATCGGTCACAAATTATAAATCTTTAATATCGAAGACAATATAAATCAAATAGAAATTAATAACTTTATACTGGAATGCAAATATCACATACGGTAAATTAGACATAAGAAATTTATTGAAATTAATATAAAAGAAGTATTAGGTTGTCTTTATTTGTGGGGAAATTTTATGGTACATATCCTTCCATATTGTTGGCTTTTTTGACTTTCGAAGGTTAATAATGTAATTTTAAGCGTGCCAGTAAGGATCAATTAGTCCTTATAGAATATTAATTGCCAACCAATTATCAGACGATTATGTTTTAGTTCTCTCAGCCTTAATGAAGAGGACTTTTACTGGTGGCTTGTTTAAGAGAATTTAGTAAATAACAACAAGTGAAGAACAATTTCAGAATCTAAATTTTATTAAGTAAAATGAAAAATTTATAATGATCTGACCCAGCCTCGTAGAGGTTTACAACAACAAGCTATTTGAAGATACTGCTAGGAATGAAGTGCAGTACAGGAATTGAAGTGCAGAAATGTAAAGAACTGTAAAAACTGGAAGGTAAAACGAAGTAAATAAACTGATTTTTTTATCTGAGTCTGGGTCATTCATTTTGGGGCCTTCTCTGCTATTTATACTTTCCAATGATAACCGTGGAAGTGGGCTTTCAACCGTCGAAATGTGCTCCCATGATTGCTAAACATGCTCTCTCACAGTCAGTTCCACTACGCCACTCTTGTAGTTAGGCTTCCCTTCTGATTTTGAATTTAAACTTTGTAAGTAACCATTAGGCCACATCATCTTGTATTTTTCCGTTGATCCAGCACTACATAGATCCATGATTACCAATGCTAACTGCCACGTGTTTGATTTCGATTGAAGACTTGAATTAACTCCCTATGTTGCCCTCATCTTGCCACGTGTTAAGCTGTGATTGTCCAATACAAAATATGCAGCCAACATTACTCCCCGCACTAATATACCCAATACTTGATGATATTAGTGAACTAGTGCAATCCACCCACGTTCTAAGACGTGCATGAACTCTGTGTATTCTGGTAGCATAGCTGCTTTTTAAATAATGAAGCTGTGAACTTTATTAAATCCTTGTATCTTGCACTTCCATTATTTGAGTAGACGAAAAGACTGGTACATCTCCAATGGCCAATCATACATTCTCCTATATTGATCGAGCATACGAGGAGTCTATGGAAGATGATTATAGGCCTCGAAAGAATCTCAATGCATTTATTGATTACACCTATCCGCCTCTATTTATGCAAGTTGTGGAAGCTTTTGCAACGTACCAACCTTTAGACCCAAAGTTTGCCAACTGCGAACCCTTAGATCAAGCATTTGCAAAAATGTATCTTAGAAACTTTTCTTCTGCCTCACCACCCTCTGCATGGGACACATCTGCTTTTTCCTGCCCCACCACCCTCTGCATGGGACACAGTTGCTCCTTCTTCCTCCAGGTCTACTGGCTGGGGAAGCTGGCCAGAACTTGATGAATCCAAACTAAGCGAGAGAATTCATTATCGACTCGTCAAATTCGCTAATCCTCTGTCTATCTCTCATTTTGCTCGGAGCTCAGTGGTTAACCCCTTTGTACCCATTGATCACTGACACAGTTTGGAGGACAACTTACTTGTGGCGTGGTACACATCTTCCATGCCCATGAAGATAGTGCAAGAAACTCCTCATCCAGAGGAAGCATAAGGATATAATCCATCATTCTTGGCCAAGAAGGCAAAACTTGCTCTTCTGACTGGGTTGAATGTGTGAATAATCCCTAATTTCCCTCTTCCTTTGGAATGGAACCTCCTGCGCCTCCTCTTTCTTAGAATCTTCACTGGATGGAGTAATTGAAACTTACTCTCTTTGAGAATCAGTTTCTTCCTTCCTACCAACTTCTAGATTTTCCCACTATATTTGAGCGATATCAAGCTCAATTTCTGCTTGCATCCTTTTCTCACTTGCCCTTCAATGTTCTTGGAGATGAGGCTCCTCTCAAGAACTTTCGATGGGCTTGTGACATTATGACTCAGGGTCATGTTCTCAACCCCATTGCTCAAGCAGAGCTTCAGGCTTTTTTGGATCAACTCTCGCTTCTTCTCCATTGGTACCAAATTTCTTTGGCTACCACTAGTTCTTTGGACAAAATCTCGGCCATACAAATTCAAACCCAATACGAGGCAGAGAATCTTATTGACGAATATAATGACTTTAAGAATAATGATTTTGCATACTTGGATGATCTAGAGATGGACGAAATGGAACAAGGATTGCAGGAGATAGAGTTCGAAATGAAAGCTGAACAACTTTTCCATCAAATAAGAACATATCAGCTACAGCAACCCAGCTTGGAAAGGACAGAAGACAGAATAAAGAAGGAACAAAAATTCATTGACCACTGCTGGGACAAATTTCATGACCTTGTTATTCTTTCTATTCCTTATTTTTATGAGATTGAATTTGTAGGCAAGAAGGCTTCCTAATGTAATTATTTACATATCAATAAATCTAGGTTTTTCCTTTCTTTATTCGGCATGATCTGGTTTTATGTTCCAATTGTATGCTTGGCTGTATGATTGATGTGATCTTGCTTCTTATTATGTTCACAAAAAACTTTGAATCAATCAAACTTACTCTCAAAGTGTAGAAACGAAATTTTTTCTTAAGGAAGACAACTTTTTCCCTAAGCTTCACATTCCAATTACATAATTAACATAATCTACATAACCAATTAGCTTCAAATTTAAACATTTTTTGCTTCAAAAAACAGTCTACGTGCTTCGAAGTATGGAAACTTCCCTTAGGAATTATACTGCTTACTTCTTAAAGAGTGAGCCCTTTTTGGGTTTCTTCACTACTTGACTAAATATTGGTTTTGCAACTTTGAATTCTAAAAAAAACAAATTCTAGCTGCAGAGCACTTCAAAGTTTACTTCAAAGGATTTTATCTTTACAAGAAACCTAATAGCAAGTCACCAATCCCTTTGAAGCAAACAAAACCTAAGCGTTCTTGTATTTTTAAGCATGAAATGTGCTTCAAAATCAATTACCTGCTCTCAAAGCCTTAGTTGATTGTTTGACATCTGGCTTTGGGGCCAAATCTTGACTTTCGAAGCCAAATATTTATTTTTCGAAGCCAATTTGATTGTTTGAGATATGTCTCCCGCCCAAACAATCAAACTTGAGAGAGACTTTTCATATTGCACTTTCAAGACCCTCACAAATTTTAGCACAAAGTCTTAAACTCATACGGGTTCCAACATCAGCTGAGCAATCTATCTCGGGTCTTTTTACCCATTTAGACAGATGGGGCATCTTTCGAATAGAAAGGTTTAAAACCCTCTCCCTTCGCACTTTTATCTTACTCACTTGCCCAAAAAACAAACGCTTTCATTTCTACTACTCTCTCCTCCTCTCTACTCTTTTCTTAGCTTCATCCTTCGAAAACTCTTACTAATAACTTCTTTCTCCTTAAAAGTACTAGTTGTGGAGCGCGTGAGTCCATCCTTGGCTTTAAAGAGTTGTATCGACGAAGAGATATCTAAGCTCAAAGCTGGTCAACCGAGTGTCATAGATGGTCGCCTCTTTATTCCTCGCCATAATGAATAACAGTAATACATCTTGGGACCCAGCTTCAGAGAAGCCCCAGCTCAACTTCCTGCTTTGTATCCTCATCTAGAGGATCATTGCCTACTCTACGAAGGGGGTTTTGATTGGGAAAACTGGAGGATAAACCGTCCCCACCGCTGCTGGCCCATATTGAGGGTGGAATGGGAGGAATGGTATGACAGGGTTGTGCTAGCCAGAGAATTGGATCTACAAGAGCTCTGTATCCTTGATGCCCTTCGCCTTTCCAGGTTCATTATCCCCGAGGATTCTTTTTTGATTCCTGCAGCCCTTTGTTTTTGGAATTTGGCTTTTAATTTTTTTCAGTTTCGGTGTGGTATGATGGCCCCAATCGTTCTTGATATTTGCCATCTCTTAGGGCTCTCACCACTTGGTGCTCCCTTTTCGCCTAGTTATCCAGGCCTTCTGGTTAACTTCACTATCCCATCCTTGAACTCTTCCATCAGTGATTTTATAAAATTTGAGAACAAGAAGGTAGGTCTTGTAGGTGACTGAGAGTTCTTCTCCTTCATTCTATATTGGTTATGCAAATTTCTTTTTTGCATTTCATCTCAACAGATTATGCCTAAGTTTGCCCCATTTGGCAAGGATCTTGCCTCGAAGAAGAGG